CGGTAACCACTCACCATCAGGTGGGCCATATGCTCGTCTGCCTACAAAGGCAATAAAAAAAAAAAAATAATAATTATTTACGTTTCAAGAAAAGAAAAAATATTTCCTGAATTCTTCTGAATAGACCAAGCAAATATTCGAAGATCAATGTCAAAAACGTTACGTAAATCATACAAACACAAAATTCAGTCATGAAAGATGATAGATTATCTGTCGTATAGACTATCAGTTCCAAAATTAACTTTCTGTGCTATGTACTTGTCGTAGACACCTCGTTTTCCTTATCGGAGTGAATTGATTGTTTTAACAAAAACCTGAATAGTATTACTGTTCATGATTATTATGCGTTTCATATATTAATCTCACATTCATTTCATTAAATTATGAAAAAAAACATTTTTTTATTAGGCTTCAAAAACGGTATAGAGCTAACTAACTCGTATAGAGCCACTCTCGGTGCTTTTAGGCCCTTCAAGCACCGGTCGCCGTCCTGTTAGAGCTCGTCAATTACAAAGAATAGCTCGACGTGCAATCCCTAGATACAACCACTGAGTTTCTCGTCGGATCTTCTCAGTGGCTCGCAATTTCGATCCGGTTGTAAATTTCAATGAAGCACTGTTCTTTCTAGGAAGAATTTTATGAAATTCTCTCAACTTAATCCCCGAAAGCTCAACTATCCATCGGCGCGTAGTTAGAACAGCCCCCTTTCCCCCTAACAACTATTAGGTAGCGAAATAAACTTTATATTGTTTTATCTATATATTAATACGTGAAGCAAAAACTTTGCACCCCTTTTTACGAAAATTGCGCGGAGGGAGGAGTATGAACTTTCCAACACTTAGAGAATACGAGAAGGAGTGCAGAATGCTTATTTATTTTTTAATTATGCATTATCATTACATTAAATCAATAAAAAAAACATTACACACTACCATGTATTTGACACACACATATATAACCAACACTTTGTTTATTGTCTAACATTTTGCTATTGCTTAAAGTCTGTGGTCAAATTGAGAATAGATTATTATTGTTTGTCTTTAATATTATTTGTCTATAGTGTAGCCTTGGCGAAATCTGTGATTATAGAAGTGTAAATAAGTGAATAGTCTTTGAAAATAGAACTATAATAATGTTCAAACTTATAATTTCAATAATTAAAGTCTAATTATTATTAAAGTATTAAAAAATTAAAATTAAAAGTATATAAAAGTATTAAGCGGTAGGCAGCGGCTTGGCTCTGCCCCTGGCATTGCTGAAGTCCATGGGCGACGGTAACCACTCACCATCAGGTGGGCCGTATGCCCGTCTGCCTACAAAGGCAATAAAAAAAAAAAAAAAAAAAAAAAAAATGTCGGGACCACTACTGCGGGACCACTAGTGTACATTAAAGCCTGAACACTATATCACAGATTAGCAGTACTGATGGATGATAGAAATTTCAGAAGTACGTAAATCCACCAGACATCTGAGCCGCTCTTTTCGTTTATAACATCAAATACAATACCACCATCACAAGCGGTATATAAATCAAAGTTTCGTAACATGCAAAGAGGTCGAGGCTCCTGCATAAATACTGTTTGTTTCCTTTAATCGATTTTTGTATTCGAGTCTCGATTCTCGGTGACCCTAAAGTGTTTATAACGTGTATTGTTTATTACCTAACAATTATAGCAGGTCACTGCTGTACTAGTGTTTGCTAAGCGATGACACTGAAACGAAACATAACTTAATTAAAACTCTACCGCAACTTATTTTACTACACAACCTAATAAATCACCCGTGTTTTTTATTTTACTAAATATGTGGATGAGCTCACAAGTCACCAGATTTGAAATTATTACTGAAGCCCGTGGTTAAGTCACATTGTGTTATCACCCACATCGAGGTTCGCGGTAGTCAGTGGCTTGGCTCTACCCCTGGCATTGCTGAAGTCCATGGGCGACGGTAACCACTCACCATCAGGTGGGCCGTATGCTCGTCTGCCTACTCCTCGCGTCGTTTTCCTCATTACTGAGGGTCGTGACTCCCCCGCTGCATCAGTTTCTCCCGTACGATTTCCATCCATCTGCTGTGATCCTTAGCGTCATGAAGGACATTGTGGAAATTGATGTTTAGAGAAGATCGTATTTGGTCCGACCATCTCGTGGGACTGCGTCCTCTGGGACGTTTGCCATCCATCTTTCCTGTCACCATCAGCTCGTCTGCCTACAAGGGCAATAAAAAAAGAAGATAAATAAAGAACAACGGTGATCCGGCTCCAAATGAATATTCCCTGTTTTATACATACTTACGTACATTTAAATATATACAGTCCAAGAGCAAACAAATCTGGCCATCACGACTTTCGGCGTAACAGCCAGAATCAGATCTGATCTCGAAGTCTCCATTTTATGGTATAATGGCTCTCTCGCCTTTCAAACAGGAACGGGACGCTTGACGAAAATTACTCGAATTATAATACCTGCTGGTTTGAATTTTGTGAAACCATGCTATTCCTTCGTTGCGGAAGTTAGATGGAGGCATGTTATAAGTACGTATTTCATTAGAAAACTTGATATCTTCGTGATTTGAACATTGGCATATACACGCTATAAGCTTGTCATTTAGGCCACAAAAAAACTCACAATACGCCATGTCATCATATACATATACACCATACCATATTTTTACTGGTGGTAGGACCTCTTGTGAGTCCGCGCGGGTAGATACCACCATCCTGTCTATTTTTGCCGTGAAGCAGTAATGCGTTTCGGTTTGAAGGGTGGGGCAGCCGTTCTAACTATACTTGAGACCTTAGAACTTATATCTCAAGGTGGGCGGCGCATTTACGTTGTAGATGTCTATGGGCTCCAGTAACCACTGAACACCAGGTGGGCTGTGAGCTCGTCTACCCATCTAAGTAATAAAAAATAAAAACATAAATTAAAACAAATTAAATCATCCGGTAGATGCGGTTTGATCCAGCTGTTCATAATATACCCCCCAGGGGTATGTGACCCCAGTCACATACTACTGCTTCTTCTTGACATCTTTAATGAAACTTCACTCGATTTTCTTATTTAACATCTCTCTACCTTATCATCTTCAACCTCTCTTCCATCGTAATAATCGAAATCGTATATGTGAAATGTTCATACCACAACTAAAACCCAAAAATACAATGCCCAATCCACAATCCATCAAAACACGTAAACAGGTTTGACCTTTTAAGAATCACTTCGAAGTTTTATCATCATTTAGAAGCTATCGTACGTCGATCGGAGAATTCACGCAACTGACCTCTGAGGACGTGGGATACGCGACACGAATCCATTAATATTTCGAAGACGATGAAAAAGAAATAGTGCCAAAAATTTTCAACAGTAATTTCTTGAAAATTAACCAATCAAAATATTCAATCAATAAAGTAAAGCCTAAATACACCAACAAAAACACCAATTATACCCGCTCTTCAAAAGTTAAATGCCTCTGTACTGCCTGATTACCCTAATGTAAAAACAACAATAGTCGAGACAGATCTAGAAGCATAGAACAAATTGTAATAAAATTTTTCAGATGGATATCCGGTGTTTTATGGCGTACATGGAAAATGAGTCTAATTCTCACACGGCGTTACCAGGACTTATAGACAATAAACGGCGAATACCCTTGAGACGTGAAGTCGATATGTGCATGGACTCAAAACATTAAATTTAATTAAGCCTCACTATGCTTACATTTAAAAATGTGCTTTTCATCGAACGCTAAATCCCTTTGTGGTCTCATTAAAAGACACAGACAGGCAGGCGGCTGTATCCCTAAGGGCATTACTTTTAAAAACAATCTACTTGAGTATCTCCACAGGAAATGAGGCCATAGATTTAAAATAAATTGTTTTAATCAAAATGTTTAAATTATAAGATGAAAAAATACTGTTTAATTATTGGAGTTTTTAAAAATTTGTATCCTCGTTACATGTAGGTTCAATTATTGTCTTTTGAGTTAGTTGCTCGACACGATAATGACATGTCCATAGCTTCATAGTAAACATTATTGATTATATTATAATACATACATTATGATGTAAGGATATAGATAATAAAGTGAGTAAGAACTGAATGTATATAGCCAAAAGCAGATTTTTAATTCAGAACAAATTTGTTACATACTCGCTACATTATTACAGATTGATTACAGTAAATAAACTAAACTTACATATTACAGTGCATATTTTATACATCCTAATTTCAAATCGTGATCAATGCACTCGTCTTTAATGAAATCCAAACTTAATATATGTGATCGATATTTTGTAAAATTATTTCAACATTCTAAAGAGTTTAATAATGAAGATGGTTTAATACTTATGGAATACTTTAATACTATTCTATCATTTTCTTTTTGCAACTCTCTGACGATGTCTGGAAATATTGAATTTCAATTAATCAAATATCTTTATTTTAAATCAATCTACATATTAACCATAATAAATTTGTTTTGTAAATATGTTGATAATATTTTTTTTACAATTATATGCGACTTTATGCGAACTATACCTAATAAAGTTTAAGTGAAAGTGAATTTATTATGAGACTTCGTTTAGGCAAATTATATCTGTTAAAAAGGTTGTTAAGACAATAAAAAAATATAGTATATATTATTTCTGTCCATATTTAATGTTTTCTTATATTTTAGAAAAGAAATTGTCAGTTGTTTTCTTTATTTTGTGCAGTGATTCAACACGATTAGTGCAATCATTAAGCTGTTAAATTAACGTAATTTAACGTCCTTCATCAGCGATCACTCGCCTATTTGATTAATATATAACTATTTCCTCAAATACGAATAGAAAAAACAATTCGCAATTACGTCGAAGATTATATAAGCGCTGAAAGTGTACTTGACGACGACGAAAGCGAGCTAAGAGATCGATCGCTGGTGACCGTCACCGTCCGTCTAGATAACGCGAGATGAGTGATCGCGGCCTTATCGTTATCTCGCAGGGAAGGAATCTTCGTAGAGCGCTGGTAGGTAGGCCGCATTTGCACTGAAGCCTCAGTAGGCAGCACGCGGCATCCTTGGAGCGATCGACGCCGCTCCCTATATCCGCGGTGGCGCACGCGCATCCCTAAGTGTCGCTTACGGTGACGATGATAAGCACCTACCAGTGACTTCGCCATATATCTCGTTAACGTGATCTCATATCGGACTATTATTTTAAAAGTGAAACTCCAAGTGAAAATAATCGAAAATGGGTAAGTGAATTTTTTTATTGAAGACAAAAAAAACGATTAAGATTTTATTATTATTTATTCAATTTAATTTTATGTTAGAGAAACACCTGAAAAAAAATTAAATATATTTGATATAATTTACTAAGTCAACTAGTAAAATATTAGTTGGTGATGTCCTGAAATTTTAATCTATTAAAAATATATAGATTTAATCTTCAATTTATTAATAACATCAAAAACATAATATGTCCATAACATTGGCAATAAATATAGAATTCATTTGACTTTGTCGAAAACGTCTACAATATTATGAATTTTTAACGAATTTGTTATGTCAAGATCAATGTCATTCAATTTCAAGTTAAGCTAATGGTTTTGCACTCGCACAATACATCATGTTGACATCTTGACTGACCATGGTTTGAAAATCGACGACAATATGGTTGTCACTCACATTACAAGTTAATTGTTTCCTTACCCGCTGTTAGACTTAAAAGAGTAAAACCTATTACAAAAATATATGTTGCTATTTCAATTTAGATTTTCGTTTTTTTTTTTTTTATGTAATTCGTACCAACATACCAAACATATTATGATCTTGTTAGATAAGAAATATTTTATTTCAAATTTCGTGATTTCAGCAGATCTGTTACTTTAGATTTATTAATTTATTTAATGAACTGAAATAGTTTAATTCTAATGATCGTAGTTATATTTATATTTTGTAAATAATCTGTTCTAATATCGAGAACTGACAGTCGAGTTATTGAATAAAGAGGTTTTGCTCGTAAGGAAAAGTCGGTAAAACCCACTTCTGTTGACTGATTCAACAACTTCCTCTGTCGTACACGTTGATATTAAATGCATTATATTTACAAATTACTACTATACTAACAGATAAACTATGTTGAGTTGCACAGTTTCATATTCAGTTTAGTTTTTCTTTTCCTAAACTTTTCCTAAATTAAATATCTAACGTGTTTTTTCTTTTTTAAAAACAACGTCTGTGCCACCAATTTTCTTGGCCTTAATTTAATTCACAATTAATTTCAACACACACAATTAATTTAAATCATTTCAAATATTCTTAAATATATAATAAATACTAGAGATATACAACGCTGAAGCACCAAGTTTAATTAAAAAAAAAAAAACTTTGTATTTTCCTTAGACGAGTATTAAATGTCCAACAGTTTATTCTTTGAAAAATGAGCCACAGATTACCAAAATTATTTTACTTCCCGTATGTAACTGGCACACAAAGATCTACTTTAAAAAAAAACATTGTGAATACTCGACACGCTTTAAATAGATCAATTAATCATTGAATGGAGTTAAAAGTTAAAAACTCTTTTTCGTTGCTAATTTAGTATATTTTTCAACAAATGGTTGCTATTACTGTGATTACCAGTTACGTTAAAAGATCGTAAATTAACGTTTGAGGACTGTGTAATTTTTCTTAATGCGCTTGAGTTCCGTCGAATATTAAAAAAATACAGATGAAAATGAATAATTAAGTGGGCAGACGATTTTTTTTAAAATACTAAACTAAGAACCATCTGTTACGAAATAATTCTCATCACTGACACACAGACGATTACTTACGTGATTAAATTAATTCTCATATGTTGATGAACTTCATTTATTATCTTACCAACTAATAACGATAAATACACTAATCACAATAAATTTTGTTCGTTCTACAATATAAGTCTTACTTATAAAAATTCCATCAGCCCAAAATAAAAATTGCTTATTATACTAGTAAAAATATGCTTGGCATGTTAAAAATCAAAGATTTAAGGAGAAGCTTAGATGCTTATTAATCATTAACGTTTTTATTATTATATACAAACCTTATAATGTGATTCTTTCTGGAATACTTATAATTAAATGTTTACTATAATATTAAATGTTCGTTTTACATGCCGTGATTTTGGGAAATACACCTTCATAACTCCGTCACAAACGACTGCTTTCCACTTGGCTGTTCAGTGCGGACATAGTTTAGAGTAAAAAGTATAGCTCGAAATCTTCTGATATAAATGTTAAAGTACATTGAAACGACTTAAATATTAACAAAGACACGATAGAGTTCATCTGTCGGATTCAGTTCAGCCGGACGAGTGGCTATGCAGTCAATCTCCATCCATAAAACATCTTAATTATCTTCAAGGAGACAATAAATTAATCCGGAACGCTCCCAGGCGCAACAAAAACATTATCCGCCGTCATCATTGACTCGTAAGGCATACAGCTGAGAATGTTTGTCACTCACTTTGTGTAATTTTCCGGTCAATTTCGTTTCATTTTCGAATGTTTTTTTTTGAGAGTATAAGACCTACCTAGAGGATTTTAAGGAGATTTGGCTGCATTCAAAAATACCGATTCATATATTACTATTTTGTATTGCCTTTGTAAGCAGATGAGCATACGACCCACCTGATGCTAAGTGGTCACTGTCGCTCATGGACGTCAGCAACGCTAGGGGCAATGCAAAGCCGCTGCCTACCATTAAGCTATATGCTTCAGGTATTTTTTGGGCGATTGCCTATAAAATGTTTTGATTAAAAATATCAATAGTAAATTCAATTAATACATAGTAGTCATTAATAGGTTCATCCGATTACTTTACGAAGCATAAATGAAAAGTATAAACAGCATGAATCAAGATGTAGCACAGTTGTAAATAACTCGCTAAATATACTCATTTAGAAGTCGGTACATATATAACATGTAAAAGATATACTTTTATCAATTTTCAAGATAATTATAAAATTTTCCTCCTCGCTCCGTAATGTCAATACCGTAATTGAGATTCAACAAACAAAAAAAAAACAAAACTTAAATCAAACGAGCCATGTAAACATGTCAACGATTTGCGCTACCTCGTTTATATGTATCTGGTTCTATTTAAAAATAACAGTTTATCAGTTAAAGCAATTATAAGTGCGTAAAATAGTGTATATCTTTACTTTTGAGGTCGGCCAAACAGACAATTATATTTCGTTATTAGCGAAGCATTTCGAAAAACCTGCGGGTCCATCGGCCTTCGTGTAGTTGCAATGTCACGATTAGCATATATCGTAACGATATAGTATTCGCAGTAATTATCCTGCCATACGCACAATGGCAACGTTAATACGCAAACATAATTATGTGTAATTTTTTTGGTAACTCAACAATCAGCATTTACTATGGTGTCTAAAAAAATTAAAATGAAACTTACTTGCTTTAGCTATGTAAAGTAATTTAAAATTGTCAAAAACGAAGCGGGTAAATATAATTTTATAGATACACTAGTTGGTCCGACGAACGCTGTTTTTCCATATACATGGACCACCTTTAAAATTTTGGGCTATGAAAAATAGATGTTGACCGATTCTCGATATGCATACAAAATTTCATGAGAATCAGTTGAGACATTTCGGAGGAGTTTGGCAACAGACACCGGGACACGAGAATTTTATATATTAGATATACGAGTCTTAATTTATATTTAAAAAAACAAAATGTTGAAAGGCACCAATGCCACGCAATTAAATTGACCGTGTCATTGTCACTTACATTAGTTCGTTTAAAGCTCTGTGCACACACAATGTCTGATAACTGATGTTGAGTCAAGTCACACACCGATTTATTTATGGTGGCAAAGCCCTTAATTTCGTGTTCATTCTAAAATTGATTAATCATGGCATATTGTAAATAGTGCTACTTGTGAGATAAGATAACTGAGACGACAGGAATATATAGAAAAACAAAATAATTAAATAAATGCTAATTGTGAATAGAAACATAGAAAATTATGTTGATAGTTATTTACCCGAATAATTAGCTCAGTTTGAATGTCTTAAAACTGACCAATGTGATATTTTAAGAATAACATTCGAATTAATCAACAGTAATCAACAATTCAAATGCATTTATTAAGTAGGTACTAACATTCAAATTATTTTTATGGCATCAGCGGATATTTTTTTGAAAGAGAAACCGATAAACATTTCTTGATATGACGTTATCTAAAAGAGGCGCTGTTTTATGCTTTCGGACATGTTATCAATCCACTTCAGTAGTTGCAGGATTATTTCGTAACAAAAAAGAATCGTTACGAAAGTAGTATATTTTTAGAATAATCTAGTTGTCCTTAATCCAGCTAACTAAAATATTTATGTACACGACAATGAAATTATAGGAATATATATAGACCATTAAATAATAAAAAATATAATAAATTAAAACATTTTTAAAAACTACTGCCTATTTTTATGATAATAATATGAAATTGTTGGCATTAAAATGGCTAAAATTATGACACAATCATGAAATAAATAGAAAAGATATAATCCCGAAAATACACAAAAAAATTCTCATAAATCATATTACCATTACCAAAGTTGACGATTGGCAAAAATAACTTCAGTATGACACATTTCCTACAAATTACGCATTAGCGATATTTACTCTTCATATTCAATTAGTAAGTACCCACATTTTATGTAAATTGTGTTTTGTAATTTACAGTTCTAATGAAGTATCATCATCATTCCTTGTTTTGTTTAGGCAAGTGATAGATATTTCCGTGCTAAAACTAAGAAAACATTTTTTTCAATACATATTAGTTTCTCTTTAAACAAAGCCTAAGTTCATCTGTGCGTAATGTAAATATAATTTTTGTAAAAAACCATGATAGAACTACATTTAGAAGTCGAAATATTTCCAAACAGACCAATATTAGCAGGTACAGTTTAATAAATTTGTGTGAAATTTTATGTTTTGATGTAACGCCACAGGAATTTAGTGCCACTAACCAATTTGCAGTCATTTTTAGTTTTATGAATTGTTCATTTTTTCCCAGATAAATCGTAATATTTATTAAACCAGTGTCTTTGATAAGAAATATACTGCAAATTTCCGAAATACCATTAATTAAGTAATATATTATCTTTGAACACTTAAATACTCGTTTCATACCTATCAATATATTTTCTAAAATTATACTCTCATAATAAGACTTACATGGAATAATTTTCATACAATTTCGTTACTTTTTTATTTTCAGGGTTAGATTTCTTAGAGCATGGGGCGGACTTTGAAGCCGCCATTTCGGCTACGGGTGAGTTTTTAAAACATAATAAAACATAAAGAAATATATGATCAACTATAGGAAAACTTGGAGATACCAAATTCTCTGTTAGAAGAGATGATATTTGTGTTGGCCACTTGTTCAGAGTAACAGTTATTTTTACATTAGTTTAATGAATTTATTTACGTATATCTTATGAGGAACTGTGACATATTTGCCAAGTGACAAGTTAGGCAGCGGCTTGGCTCTGCCCTTGGCATTGCTGAAGTCCATGGGCGACGGTAACCACTCACCATCAGGTGGGCCGTATGCTCGTCTGCCTAGAAAGGCAATAAAAAAAATATAAAAAAAATAGCACCAACAGGTACCTAAAACTTACGTTAATGAATGACAAATTTGATTCGCGACATAGGCAATGTAAACAAACGTAATGTAATAACAATGGAGTGTCAAACAGCAATCGTAAGTACCACTATTGATAATGGATTGGACGATTAATTTTTACTATCGGTTGTCGAATAGTCCGCATTTATCAACCACGTGTTTATGCGTCAAGGATTGCATTTCTCTACACCAGCTTTCTTAAGTATAATTTTAATTAGATAAAACTGGTTCGGTTCGAAATAGATAATGAATAAGGTCATGAAATTTAGTTCGAGTGTTTGAAACAATTTGAAACGTATCATTTCTCCAATTAATAAGAAACAGTCTATTAATAAGTCTAATAATAATCACGATTACACGTAGAAATCGTGGACTGCAGATATAGATACTTCCTAAAAATATGCACATATTTAGTACCTTCTAAAACAAAACTCGTTGCTGTTGTGTTTTTTTTTATTTTTTTATCGCTGTTCTATTTTAAATCATTCATCTAGTATTGAATCATTAAAATTTTTATCATTTAAAATATTTCTTCCTCCAGGTTTCGGTCGCTTCCACTTTTGCCTGCTTGCGGTCACGGGGCTGATCTACGCTAACACCGCCATTGGAATCACAATAGTGTCGTTCGTGCTACCGTCGGCGACATGTGATTTCCGCATGACTTCTGCGGACAAGGGCTGGCTTACAGCCGCGCCTATGTTGGGTATGAAATATTCTAAGTTCCGAAAAAATATCTAATCGTTAAGTGAAATTTTGTCTGCACGCCCCTTTTATCCAGAAAAAAAGTGATATTCCGATGGGTTATTTTTTCCCTTTATGAACGCGAAGTCGCGTGCAAAAGCTAGTGCCTATTAATTTTGTCTGTCTCTGTAATATCTATATACAGCACGACTGTCTCAATCACAATATTTACATACCTTGACATAATTTTGTTACTACTTAAATTTTTAGGAATATATAGAGTTTCTTTTCCTTTAAAGTTTGATTAAAATTGTTTCAATTCATTTTTTTAAATTATGCCGTGTTTTCTCGCTAATACGAAGAAGTATAATGTGAAATAGTATTATTTTTACCAAATCCATTGTTTACCAAATACAAAGTTAGACAGTAAAGAAACTGAATTGTTTTTTTCTACAGGTATGGTCATTGGTTCATATTTCTGGGGTTGCTTGGCTGATACAAAGGGCCGTAAGGTTGTATTAGTATCAACCCTACTACTTGACGGCGTGGTCGGTATCATCTCATCGTTCGTCCAGATCTTGCCCATATTCATGGCTTGCAGATTCGTCAATGGTTTTGCGTAAGTACCTAATCCCATTTTGACTTAAAGAACCCAAGTTTTCAGACAAATAGAATATAATTCGATCGCATCATCAACTCATATACCAGCTATTCCATATGACTCCATATGCAAGATAATAATTGGGATTGCGAATAATCCTACTCTGTCCTTTCATATCATTAAGTCGCATGGGGATTTGCTCAGTGAAATTATTTGATATACACCTGTCATCTCCATTTCGCTACAAAATCAGCCACAAAAAAAGCATGTTTCCATAGTTTATTTTCGATGAAGGAATGGTAATTTATGTTTCACAAACGGTTTATTGTAAAGCTCATCATTATGGTTAGCAAACTCTCAAAATCTTAAAACCTGAGCAAATACAAACATTAGATCTCAAATATTTCTGTTACAAATGATTTGCATTTGTCTTATAATTATAGAAGTAGAGCTTCGACGAACATAGCAAATACTCGATAGTTTTGTCTTTTCCTAATTATCATTTATATTAACTGTTTAATGCGTAAAACTGTATTAATTATATTTATATTAATAATTTAACTTTTCTTCATCCTTAGTTTTCATTTTTTATTTTCCACAAAATTATCTTCCTACTTTTTAAGTTAGTGACTACTCTAGACTTAGTGACCTTTTTGGCAGTTAGTGGTATTACTAAAATCTTCCTTGTTTCTGGTGCATATCAACCGTGCGTTACTGTTCGACAGAGTTATTCAATGCAATAGATTACAATTTTAATTATGTAAATGTCGGGCAACGCATTATTATAGAAAATAGAAACCCATTTAATCAAAAACACAAATATGAACTAATTGATTAACATATGAATTGTGTGTCTGCAATAAAGTATCAAAAATGATACGACAATTTTTTTGTAGCCAATTGTTCGTGTAATATTATTAGTAATACAATGGTATTACGATGTTCGATAAATGGATGTGCGTGATTTCTACACGTTTAAATACAAGAATAATGATACCATTAGTGCCATTTAGTGCACTTGTGAGCGCTGAGATGTGTATCACAAAGATAGAGATGAGACTTGGAAGAATGCTCACGCAGTTTTATTTTAGTGGGTATAGTTCATCTTCCGGAGTTAATGTTCTCGTGAAAATTTTGACTGCGCAATGGTGCGCAATGGTTTTCTAGTTCGAATATCAAAATCCAATAATTGAGGTCTCTATGAATTGCATCAAGCGGTGGGCGAAGTTACTGCTAATGAATAAACGCTTCCACCATAAATTAACAAAATATTATGAAACTGGATTCTACTGAAAAGGTTCGAGTTAAAAAGCCAAAGTCCAATATCGGTCAGTGCCTTATGAAAGTCGTACAATTATATCGAAAACTAACAAAATGTAGTGAGAAGATAATTGGCATAGATAAAAAATGAGAAACTGTGTAGTAACTGAATTTTTTTACATGTTTTGTAAGAGGAAACAACAGAAAGATTATAGGCTTGTAACTACCATAAAACGTATGATCAAAATTTGAAATTTAAAAGCAAGAACTTTAATTTGCGCGAGTGAAAATTTATTTCACGCAGACTAACGATGACTCGTTTGAACGCAGTTGTACTTAGGCGCCTGATTAAGTTTTAAACACGGATCACTGTTTGTTTATTTGCTGATAAAATTTTACTACCAGTTGTGTGATCATTTAGGATTGAGATTGCTTCGAAAGAATGATTTCATTCGTTAGATCTGTATAAAGGAACTCTGGGATTTTAGGATTGTGCATGGAAATACTTCAGTAGGTACTATCCTGATGCTGCGATGCCAACAATTCCACTTCCCAAAAAAATATAATTTACGATTGACAATTTAAATAAGCCTCATAGGCACTTCGTTAAACATCACCTACCTAAGTTAAACTTCATAATTCATCTACGGACTTAAGTTCTTAAGACAAGGAATCTTGTTGGTGACCATCGAATCCCGGATAACTCGTGCCCCTAGGCGCGGGAACCTCTTGGGTTAGGCGGTCGGAGGGTGAGATATACGGCGCAAAAAAAAACCGAACTTTGCGGGATCCTAAGCACATCTACTTATTTAATAATAATAGAATAAGCATTAATAAAGTTATTAAAAAAAATTATATGGTCTTTTTGTTTGTTTTTGCAGCGTTGCCGGTGCTATGGGTATCTGCTTCCCGTACCTGGGAGAGTTCCAACAGACCAAATACAGAGAGAAAATCCTCTGCTGGATGGAAATGTTCTGGACTCTCGGTGTCATCTTGCTTCCCTGTAAGTTTCATTATTTTTTGTTCGTGTCCGTTAATTGACATCTGTTCTATGATAGCTACAGCTACAGTACTAATAAAGAAACTAGTTTTAAAACAATATTTTTCTGCATTTTTTTTATTGCTTAGGTGGTTGGACGAGCTCACAGCCCACCTGGTGTTAAGTGGTTACTGGAGCCGATAGACATCCACAACGTAAATGCGCCACCCACCTTGAGATACAAGTTATAAGGTCTCAAGTATAGTTGTATAGTTACAACGGCTGCCCCACCCTTCAAACCGAAACGCATTACAACTTCACGGCAGAAATAGGCAGGGTGGTGGTACCCACCCGCGCAGACTCACAAGAGGTCCTACCACCAGTAATTACGCAAATTATAATTTTGCTGGTTTCATTTTTATTACACGATGTTATTCCTTCACCGTGGAAGTCAATCGTGAACATTTGTTGAGTACGTATTTTATTAGAAAAATTGGTACTCGCCTGCGGGATTCGAACACCGGTGCATCGCTTCAACACGAATGCACCGGACGTCTTATCCGTTAGGCCACGACTGCATGACCAAACGAGGAATCTTAGTCAAAATGAATTTGTATGAGGCACCCATTTGTGATGGTATGTGATTAGGAAGGATTAACAGTTTCTAGATTTTTCATTTGTGCGACATTTACCTATGCAGATAGATACCTAAGTTGAATCTGCCATATTTCAGTGATCGCCTGGGGCATCATTCCAATCCAAGGCATCCGCGTTGAGAGCGGTGCATTCTCCTACGACTCGTGGAACTGGTTCGTTGCTGCTTGTGGTGTTCCCTCCCTTCTCCTCGGTTTCTGGCTCTTCTCGTTCCCCGAGAGTCCCAAATTCATGATGGAGTGCGGAGACTACGACGATGCCCTGAAATGCCTGAAGAGCGTCTACAGACAAAACACCGGTGACGATCCGGATAATTATCCGGTATGTAACATATTTCAACCGAGTATTTTTTTGTCAAGTAAAATTAATAAAAATTTAAACAATTTGATTGTATTCATAGATTGTTTTGTTCAATTTCTAAATTTCTAATTTTTTTTTGAAGTAAAAATTCCAAATCATAGATCCTATAAACTTTGTTTTACTTTGTCCAAAACAGATCAAGAGTCTAAAAGAGAAGGTGCGAACTGTGTCCGTTGCATCGCAAAGCTCCCAGAAATCCGTCAGAAGCCTTAGCATGCGCAAGCGGAAGGATCTGAAACGTTTATTCACTGAGATTTGGACCCAGACCAAGGCTCTCTGCAGACCACCATACCTCAAATACACTATCTTGACTTGCCTGATTCAATTCGGCCTGACCACAAGGTAAGCACTCATTCAAATACATATTAGATAAATAATAAATTGGTCATATCACTAAATCAAATATCATTTAAGCGAAAGTCAAGCATACGATAATTCTAATACAGTTCCTCGGTGACCTCGATGACCTCGGTGACAATAAACATGTAGCAGACTTCGACATCAGATTGTTTTGCATTTTTCTGAAGTCTCCATTATTTTTCTCTTTCTTATTGCTTCTCTCTTTTCACTTTTTTCCGTTCCTATTCGCCGGTAGCCTAAGGGGTTATTCTAGCTACGCTCGGATGGGTAGGTGAGCTTACGGGCTCAATCTGAGAAAACTTGCTAACACTAGCCCTAGCGGAATCCCGACCTACGGAGAAGACCCGGCGAGAAACTCAGTGAGCTGTGTCTATGGGTCTTTTCTCCCTAGACTTGACATTCGGGTTATTTTTGAAACTTCTCTATTCAATAGTATAATATTTTCTTCGGCTTTCGCTAGTGCATAATTAAAACTACTTTTACGGGTTATTATGGGGTTTCTTTTTGTCATTATATTCTTTATCACGTTTCGAATACTTCATAGTATTCGCGTTCAAATTATCGGATATAATAATATAATAAAAAAAAAGACACCAGATTAACCCGTAAAAGTAGTTTTAATTTTCTCTCTGTTCAAGTTAGATATATTGTAATTGAATTGCTAACTACACTAATGCCCGTATCTTTAGACGTTTCGTAAAATAGTCCTCCACTCTTAACTCATCCGATGATGCTCGAGAATTCCCTCCAAACTTACTCGAGTTTGGTATTTTTAGTCGACCATTACAATATTCCTCAACTGTCCTCGAGTGAGGTAATAATGATGAAAATTTGATCAAGCTAGCATCAAACCCATAGAGTTCTGTAGTCTATGGTCATTGTTTAATGTCAAAGTCAAGCTGCCGCTGTCTGTTTGACACTAGATGAACTTGTTTGATGTTTTGGTTGCTGAGTTATTCGTAAATATGTGTGCGTGCGGTAAATCTGAAAGTGTATTATTTATTTTCTAACCTATTATTATTTTAGATTTCGGATCCGGCTTTGTATTTTTATTCGCCGCTTTTGTGTGATTTTGGTTGCATCGTGTTGTTGAAGTGCTTTTCCACAACCACCAGTTTATTATTATATAAATAAAACTTATAATCGCATTGACTTTATTTATCAGGTAGTAAGCAAAATATGACTCTTATGTAGGTAAATAAAATAAAGAGTTTCAAATGTCTAACTTCGAACTATTTACTTTATTAATAAATATTATCAAAATTAAATTATCAAAATATGCGGGAATCATGCACAGATCCAGGCCATTGCACAACAATATCATATATTTCCATTTGCGGTCCACATACTATTTGGACATTGATAGAAAACCAGCCTTGAGGAACGTTCAAGGTACGTCGCGACGTACCTTGACTTGACAGTTCGCTCACTTCACTCCGGTTAGGAAATTTTTCCAAGGACGTTTGAGTGGAGTTTATTTTTACGACTAATCATACCAAAACGCGTGTTGGAGGTTGAGTCGAGTCGAGTTAAGCTCGTGTAAGCGACTAAAGATACGGGTGTAAGACATATGTGGCTGAATTTTCCTGAATCGAAAAAAACCACCGCCCTGCCTATTTCTGCCGTGAAGCAGTAATGCGTTTCGGTTTGAAGGGTGGGCCAGCCGTTGTAACTATACTGAGATCTTAGAACTTGTATATCAAGGTGGGTGGCGCATTTACGTTGCAGATGTCCATGGGCTCCAGTAACCACTTAACACCAGGTGGGCTGTGAGCTCGTCCGCCCATCTAAGCAATAAAAAATAAAATTTACACAAGCCTAAATGCTCCCTAAAATTTCAGTTACTACACCTTGATGATCTGGTTCCCCGAGCTGTTCAACCGTTACGAAGAGTTCGAACATCGTTTCCCCAACACATCAGCTTCGGTTTGCGATGTGTCCAGCATTGTCGTCGTTGACGAAGCATCGTCTGATCCCTTCGACTGCGAGAAGGTCATCGACCAGAGCGTCTACATGCACACCCTGATTGTCGGTCTCGCCTGCATTCCCACCTCGCTCTGGCTACCCCTCTGCGTTCATAAGCTTGGTGCCAAATTTTTCTTGAGTAAGTAGTAAAATGTGCATGAGTACAAATGTGTGAGTAAATTTTAAATTTCAGAATTCTTCGATTTTGTCATTAAGCATAAAAAACCAAGCCTGTCCGAATAAGCAAGATGCCTTGAATAGATGTACATTAGAACTAAGTATTCCCAAATTATCTCAATAATAATCATGAACGATACTTAACATATCTTTTTTTTTTTATTGCTTAGATGGGTGGACGAGCTCACAGCCCACCTGATGTTAAGTGGTTACTGGAGCCCATAGACATCTACAACGTAAATGCGATAACCACCTTGAGATATAAGTTCCAAGGTCTCAGTATAGTTACAACGACTGTCCCACCCTTCAAACCGAAACGCATTACTGCTTCACGACAGAAATAGTGGTACCTACCCCTGCGGACTCACAAGGGGTCCTACCACCAGTAAAGTCCTACCACCAATATCTCATAAAATACTTTATTAACAAAGAAATATCATCATCATGTAATAAGTTCCTGAGAATTTATAGGTATTGTACAGAGTTTAGATGTATTTAAAAAACATATATAATTTACGTAATTGCTGTGGTAAAGCTTCTTGTGAACCTGCATGGATTGTTACCATCAATCCGCTTATTTTTGCCGTGAAGTAATGATGCGTTTCGGTCCGAAAGGTGAGGGGGCAGCCGTTGTACTATAAAACTGAACACTAAGGACTCATGTCTCAAGGGCAGTAAGGAGCGGGTAGGAGCAGTTACATTGTTAATGTCTATGGGCTCCGGAAACCCCTTAACACCAGATGAGCCGCGAGCTCGTCCCTACATCTAATCAATAAATAAGAATTTATAGATTTGTATTTTTAAGGGGATTTACCATCATCTTAATTGTTTCTGCTGTGAAGCATATACGCGTTCGAAGATACTTGAGGATTCTAGCTCAAGCAAAAGAATACTATCTAATAATATTTTTTTTAGTTTTCAGTTTGAGTTTCGCCGGAGTGGTGACAGTCGGTTTGTACTACGTACAGAACTCCATCCAGAATTTGGTACTGTCCTGTATCTTTGAAGCCCTCACCTCGCTCGCCATCAGTCTCGTGTTCTGCGTGCTCGTCGACCTGTTCCCTACAAATCTCAGGTGTGCTACACAATATTTAATGAATGTACGAGGTCCCGCGGCTAGGGGGCGCGCGTGGTATGTGGGACTTGAAGAGCTGCAGATGCTGAGCGCAGACCGCAGGCCCAAGGATCTTTTAGGGCCATATCGCACTAAACGACTCCCCTGCACTCTTACACCCCACATCCGATCTCCGTCCGGGGTCAGAACCCGGTCAGAGTAGGGCGGTTCCCGCGGATTCATGCACCTACTTACCTACCTTAAGACCTTATGCTATTTCAAAATGGTGTCAGTGCGTAAAAAATTGAAAGGGAATAAATTTTTTTTTGTTACCACGAAAATATCGATACCAAGTAAAATTTCGTAAAAAACGGGTTCTAAATGTATTATCAGTGAATCCGTCCCACGCTTAGTAACAGGGAATAAGCACCCCTTTGTCATGGAGTCGCAATATCAAGGTGTATTCCTGCAGGCTTGTGGGTATATTGGGATTGTTGGGAGCATTGTTTCGAACTGTGTTCAGTATAAAAGTTATTCGAAGGCAAATGTTAGGAATCCTTAAGAGAACTTAGCGATTATTTACGTGTGGACATAGTCTGGCGTTTTATAAAACTCTGGTACGACTTCGCATGAAGTACTATTACCATCTCTGGGCCATAGCTCCCAAATATCAGCTACTTCAGATTTCTGAGTCTGCACTTCTCTATGTTTCGTACCGTATATTACATGGAGAGTGCTCCGAGGTATTGTCTAATATGATCCATCTCATTACCATCTCTCTTTCTGCCGATTTAGCAAAATTCATCTATACTATCTGGAAAAACCGTGCTCATTCACAGTCCGTTTTCATGGTCCTTTTTTTCTACTCGGTACTAGAATGAACTCGCTCCCACGATTTCAGCCACTATGACGTGTCCTTCGAAAATTGAAGACTCTGAATTGACTCAGCTATTTCCCTGACATTGCAGATGTCCATGATAAGTACTCACCATCAGATTTACCGTAAGATCGTCACTCGGCATCAACATACAAGAAAGATTCCTTGCCTTAACGAGTGGTAGCAATACGTTTTGGCTTAATTTGGTAGATAATTTTACAGAGAAGCATGATAGATATATACAAATAGACCTTAGACAAACTGAGACAGGCAAGTTTCAATAAAATAGGTGGTGAGGGAGCAGAGAGCCCATGTCAAATGGTACTGACACGGGCAATTTTGAGTACAGAATCCATGTCAAGTGGTTCTTGATAGAACATTCAGCGGTTATGTTAATCTACGGTTTTCTGTTTTAGGGTAATGGCTGCCGCGTTATCGCTGACTGCTGGTCGAGGTGGAGGTCTGATAGGAAACCTTTCGTTCGGTTACCTTATCGACTTGGCTTGTGTCGTACCAATTGTTGTATTCTCAGCATTTTTATTCAGTGAGTATTCTTTTTAAAGTTCACCATAATCAATATATTTTTTTAATTCAACTAAGATACTAATCTCTTTAGAGATAATAATTTAAGCTGATCTTTATATTTCTTATGAAAATAGTTCATGGTGGATGTTATATTTTTATAATTTTATTAAAAGAATTCATTTTTGTATGTTAGGTTTCAGCACAGCACGTAATTTAACACAATTTGAAACCAGTTGACAGGGTCAATGCTCTCGTGTGAAGCAAATTAGAAAAATATGGTTCTTCGTTTGAGATATTGTAGTATGAGATACTAAAAATAATATACATATATAAGATATAAATTATTCAATATTAGAGTTATGTATTTTGCAGTGCAGTTTTAATGGGTCAGACATAATGAAAGCTTCTTCAGTTTTTATTAAATAATTAGTCCAATTTTATAGTAAAATTAATCAATATATAAATATTGTAGGGCATATCTAAGTCTCTGAGATACGTTCTAAATTTTCAAAGGAAATAATTTCACGAAGGATTTTATAGGTTATATTTATATATATTATGTAGTCCCGTCTTGATGGGTGGACTAGTCGATTTACAATTAATTAAAGAGGGAGGCTGCATTCTCGTTGTGAAGTCCATGAGCTCCAATCACCACTTTTAACCTTAAACCTGTCGAGCCGTGGGCTGTATCACCCAGCTGAATATTAAACAAAGTAATACTGCAATTTCGACCTTATTTTACGTACTTAAGTGTGAATTAATTTTAGTTACTGTTACAGCATCGAGAACGGCTTATTTCTTTTTCCTTACCCCCTCATAGACGTAGCGTCGACATAAACTGTTTTTTCTAGTTACCCCATATGGTTTATGAATCTGAAAAATAATGTTTTATTTTTCAGTTGCTGCTATACTCTGCTTCTTCTTGCCAAAGACGGGACAGGAAGCCTTGGACTAAACATTATTTACATAGTGCAATTAGAATTTGTGAATCGTAGCTATAATGAGTGATTGTACATATCATTTAAGATGTAAATAATGAAGACAAGTATTATTTATTGTGTCGCTATTAAGTTCTTTCATCTCGTACGCACTTGTTACCGTTTACTGTGTGATACAGTATATGATGTTTCTTAGTAAATTTAAGAACAAATGAACATAACAGTATTTTAGTGTTGACTGTGTAATATAATGAGTTAAATTATTATTATTATTATTAAAGGTATATTTGCCTTATAACAAAGCTTGTTTTTTTTAATACAAACCCGGATGCGGTTTCGAGAGGTGAAAAATTCGAACATAACAAAACCGTGGGTCGTTAATATATGGAATGTCAATGGTGTGTTGATTTAGATATTTCTGTTCGTGAATATATGTATTAAATTAGAGCACGCTCGAGATTTCTATGGACAAAAAAAATATTGGAGGCAATTATGTTAGAAATACAGCAATCAAAAATAACAATTCCGAAAATGTATGTCGGGCCAGATTCAAGTAATAAGAAATGTTTCAAGTAATAAATAAAGTCACTGTACACTGACTTTATTTATTTTTGCGAATTTACCTATCTGGAAGATCTTCAAATTTTTTTTCGGAGAAATTTCGTGACCTTACGTGCTCACTCTCAACTTGACGTTATTTTTTGACTTATTGTCGAAACACCAACAGAACTTGTTTCTAAAGTTTGCATTCCAAATAAAACTTTTTACATCACTGTACATATACTAAGTTATACTGTGATGTAAAACGAGACAGCTCTCTCTCGTTGTCTCACTCTTTTATTATTGATTTAAGTAGAAAAATTCACTCTCTTCAAACTTTTTTTTTATTGCTTAGATGGGTGGACGAGCTCACAGCCCACCTGGTGTTAAGTGGTTTTTTTTTTTTTTTTATTGCTTATATGGGTGGACGAGCTCACAGCCCAACTGGTGTTAAGTGGTTACTGGAGCCCATGGACATCTACAACGTAAATGCGCCACCCACCTTGAGATATAAGTTCTAAGATCTCAATATAGTTACAACGGCTGCCCCACCCTTCAAACCGAAACGCATTACTGCTTCACGGCAGAAATAGGCAGGGCGGTGGTACCTACCCGCGCGGACTCACAAGAGGTCCTACCACCAGTAATTACGCAAATTATAATTTTGCGGGTTTCATTTTTATTACACGATGTTATTCCTTCACCGTGGAAGTCATCAAAGGGTTGGCCGAATTCATAAACATCCATAATGCCATTGGAAATCGCTTTTTTCTAGCCCACCACCAGCCTGATCATGAATGCTAATACTAGCGACTAACTTACCATTTAATCTAGATTCTCTTATTTTCCATAAAATATGCAAAGGACATAAAAAACTGTATTTTGTCATAATGTCATAATTTATTATATATCTACAGAAGTTATTATATTTTAATTACAGAAATTATAATTTGCGTAATTACTGGTGGTAGGAACTCTTGTGAGTACGCACGGGTAGGTACCACCGCCTTGCCTATTTCTGCCGTGAAGCAGTCATGCGTTTCGGTTTGAAGGGTGGGGCAGCCGTTGTAACTATACTTGAGACCTTAGAACTTATATCTTAAGGTGGGTGGCGCATTTACGTTGTGGATGTCTATGGGCTCCAGTAACCACTTAACACCAGGTGGGCTGTGAGCTCGTCTACCCATCTAAGCAATAAAAAAATTTAAAAAAATAAGAAGTTATCACAATGAAATAGGTCGCTCGATATACTAGGTACCATACAATTCGATATAAAACATTTTATTGTACTTAGGTACTGCCGTATAACGACATTGTATAGAAAAAGTTAATGAGAAAAATAAACTCATAACGGGCAATGGGTCCATTGCTAAAATTGCGACAAACGTTTGGACGAGTAAACTAACCCATAGACACAGCCCACTGAGTTTCTCGCCGGATCTTCTCAATATCCCACTGAGTTTCTCGCCGAATCTTCTCAGCGGATCGCGTTTCCGATCCGATGGTAGATTCTGCGAAGCACTGCTCTTGCTAGGGTCAGTGTTAGCAACACTCCGGTTTGAGCCCCGTGAGCTCACCTACCTACTACACACGTTAGGGTGAAGCTGAAATAGCCTCTCAAGGCTATCAGCTTAAGTCGAGAAAAAAAAACCATCAGCCGGTATTCACTGTATTACGTAACGGCACGACTTAACGACTTCCGCTACGAAATAAAATAAATTAAAATCTACAAAAACACATACTTACGTAATTTTATTTGTGTTTTAAAGTCCGTACCACAATTCTGTCAATTTTCTGTAGTGGGCAATGTAATGCGTTCCGATTACCGGGAAGGAAACCCGTTCATACAATTCAATCTCTTTGATATGTACAAGCTCTGATAAACAGGTGACCAGTAAGTCTGTTTCCCGCATGTTTAGCCAAAAAATTATAATAAGTATAAATAAAAATAATGGTTGAAGCAAAGCGCATTTTCATTTCATTTTGTACTTTTTTGTTGTTGTTTGTTCTTTTGTTGTTGTACAATAAAGAATACTCTCCCTCTCTCTCTCCCTCTCGCTCTCTCTCTCCCTCTCGCTCTCTCTCTTACTCTCTCCCTCTCTATAATCTCTTACTACCTTACCTCTGACATTACTATTATTTTCAAGCAGTATTTGAAATAAAAACATTGAACTGTAAAAATTATAAGATATATTGAAACTTAAAATATTACAGTTCGATTAGACTCGAGTTATACTAAGAACGAATGTTGTTATTTGAAACATATATGGAAAAAAGTTATGAAATAATCTTTGAAATACTCGTATTGCCTGTTCATATATTTCTAGATTTCACAGTAATCATGTAGGTATGTATTTTTAATACAAATGTGTGCAACAACTTAGTACTAGTAAAATATACGCTTACAATTTTCAAGCTTCAACAAAGTATAAATATTTGTACATACATAAGAATATGCAGATGAAGCAAAACATTATAAACTTTGAATTTTTCAACCAATTAACCAAAAAATTATTTGGATAAAAATTCAATGACTTTATTATATTATATATTACGTTAAATAAATTACATGGATCTTTATTGAAATCTTAAGCTTTGAGAGATTTATTAAAGGATATAAACAATATGTTTCATAATAAAATGCCAATCTCAAACATGGGTCCAAGCCCTTTCATATTTCTCAGTGTGTTTGTGGTGTACTTGGAACCTGGGGCAGACCAAATTCGTCCACGGGAACGCCATCTTTGTTCCGGATGCTATCGGCTCCAGGTTCCCTATCAGGAGCTGCTGGAGCCTTCACAACATCGTCAAGGTAAGAAGCATCATCATCTAAAGCTATTTCATCACCTGTAACCAGAGAACAGATTTTAATACATTTCCTTAACCTGCCTCAAATCAAAAAGGTTAAGTAGGTATATAGACAGATTGGGCCTGAACAAGGTGCTCGCGGTGGAGGTGGTCACAGTGGCCGCGTTGGCGCCGATGCCGGCGCGTCTAGTGGAAGTGGAGTCGGAGGTCGACTGGTTCCAGGGTACGATGCGTCTACGATGCCTCGGGTCAGTGGTCGATCTCCGCGTGGCGGTGCGAATTGATGGACGCCCGAGATCGCGCTCCTCTGAGAAGAGTGCGTACGGGGGCGCTATCGAAGCGCCGGCCACGACCGTCTCCACCTTCGCGATGCCTGCATGTCGACTGCCGTCAGAAGTAGGAGGCACTGCGGCGGGCCATCGACGAGGCCAAGTCTCAGAGCATGAAGACGCTCGCGGTCCACAAGAAATTACAGCCGTGGGCGCTCCCAGTGATGGAGCGTCTCCAGCCTCGGCAGCTGCGGGAGATTGTCTCTGGGCTGTTCCCGCGGATGGAGAGTGACTTCGAGCCCCCCTCCATGGGCGCGCCGCCACGCGGTGACGTGAGCGGTAATGCCCCTGCTGAGGTGGTTCCTCCAAGCATTTCGGAGGAGGAGATTCTTGCGGCCGCGTGGTGCCCCGAAGGTGTTCACGGCCGGGTCTGGGATTTGGCCTTCGGTGCACTTGGGGACCGGCTCGTACGGCTCTTTGAAGCCTCGAGTCGAGACGGTTTCCGAAGCAGTGGCAGTTCGGATTACGGAAGGGCCGCTCGACCATCCACGCGGTGATGCGCGTGCGCACCCTCTCTGATGGGGCTGTCGGCCGGGGCGGGGTTGCGGTGTCCTTGGATATCGCCAACGCGTTCAACACCCTGCCCTGGTCGGTGATCGCGGGGGCACTGGAGTATCACGGCGTCCCTGCGTATCTCCGTCGACTGATCGGGTTCTACCTCGAGGATAGCTCTGCGGCCAGCGAAGCTGTCCGCGTTGTCGTCGTCGCTGTCATCGCCGAACGTATTGTGGAAGAGCAACCCGGTCGGCGGTGTATCGAGTTCCGACCCAGCAGGGTATCCCGGAACACCAGCGGCATCGCCCGGGTTGCCTGGTAGAGCCGCCGTACCGCGGAATCCGGCGTCGTCGGCTGTCCACGATCACTTCGACGACCCGTCGGTCGGGCGTCCTCGGGGTGGCCCCGCAAGTCTGGTTATAGTGTTGACCGCGGAAAGCCGCCTACTCTGACCCCGGACGGAGATAGGACGTCGGTCTGCTCCCAACATCAAGATCCTCAAATTCAAGATGCCCCGCGCGCCCTTAGGCGTGGGAACCTCGTCGGAGGTTCGGCCCCGGCCCGGAAAAAAAGCTTTTGTATATAGACAGATACTGAAACCCAACACAAAAATGATATTTTTTGTTATTTACAGTATATAGTGATTAATAAAATGTTGTAACCTGCTTAAACCTGTTTATTATGATTTGATTGAAATATACTAATTTCAAATTAGAAAACATGTCTTTTGTCATTGTTATTATTCTGTGCAATTTTTAAAATGCTCATAAGACATCTCCTTTTTAGGAAAATCTAAACTAAAAATCCACTTTCACTGTAGGATCATTATGAAATAGTTCATCCTTCGAACTATGCAAGTTAAGTGTACATGTTCAATGAGACTCAGTCAGTTTTATAAGCAACTAACTGACCCGGCAGACTTCATAGTTCCTCAATCGATAAATAAAAGACACATCAAGGGGGCACATCAAAGGAAAAACAAAATTGTTTGTTTTTTTATAATTCCGAGCTTTTTTATATTTTCTCACTTTTTAAACCTTCCCTGGACTTCCACGAATAATTCAAGACCAAAATTAGCCAAATCGGTCCAGCCGTTCTCGAGTTTTAGCGAGACTAACGAACAGCAATTCATTTTTATATATAGAGACTAATTAAACAGTTGTTACAAATTTTCAATTTAAGCACAAGCAAATAAGAAACTTACCAAGAGCATCAAGTTCTGCAGCAAGCTCATCATCATCAATCTCTGGCATACCATATTGCCTGCCGAGGGCTTCTTGAACTTCATCAGCTTGTTCCATCATATCAGCTAACTCATCATTTACATCCTGCAATTGTTTATATACTTTACAATGAATACATCAAAACCCAACAAATTTTAAAGACTGCATTTTTGTAGATTCTTAACAATTTATTGACTGCTGTTACAAAATATTTCCATATGAGGTTGACGTCCTTAGGGTCTACAAGCTACGAAATTTTGGCTTCATAAATTATCTTAAATTCTGTTAATGGATTAAAATGTATGTTGCTCTATCCAACGCCTGTTTTCAATTATATACTCACATCAATGGAATCAATATTAATCTTCTTAAATTCTTTTTTCATTTGTGTTACACCATCCTTCATTGCAGATATTGTGGTATGAGTGTCCTTCAATGTCTGCGTTGCATAATTTGCTTGTTCCATGTTGAAAGACTGGGCACGGAGACTATCAAGTTGTTGTTCATACCTGATTTAAAAGTAACATTTGGTTGTATAGTTACTGAAATTTATTTTCTCCACATAAATGTTTTTTTTATTATTTTTTTTTTATTGCTTAGATGGTTGGACGAGCTCACAGCCCACCTGGTGTTAAGTGGTTACTGGAGCCCATAGACATCCACAACGTAAATGCGCCACCCACCTTGAGATAGAAGTTCTAAGGTCTCAAGTATAGTTACAACGGCTGCCCCACCCTTCAAACCGAAACGCATTACTGCTTCACGGCAGAAATAGGCAGAGTGGTGGTACCTACCCGCGCGTACTCACAAGAGGTCCTACCACCAGTAATTACGCAAATTATAATTTTGCGGGTTTGATTTTTATAACACGATGTTATTCCTTCACCGTGGAAGTCAATCGTGAACATTTGTCGAGTACGTATTTCATTAGAAAAATTGGTATCCGCCTGCGGGATTCGAACACCGCTGCATCGCTCAACACGAATGCGCCGGACGTCTTATCCGTTAGGCCACGACAACTTCTAATTCAGACAGTTAATCAATGACTTCATAGTATTAATATAATTATCAATTTTCCAGTAACCAGATAGAACTTATTTTAAAATACTAATATTACACACGAGCCCACAACTTGAATTACAAATTTAATGAACATATTTCTCTAAGAAAAGTTGATAGGTATAGCAATCAGTGAAATTTATCATTAGAATAATTTTAATTTTTCATAGAAGGAAGATTTCAAACTTTATACACACAGATTGATGACACTTGTGAGGGCTATAACAATTTAATTGTATATTTAAGCATAAACTTTAGCTTGCGCAGATATACAGATTTCACTTGGATGTGCAGAAGCATTTTTGGGATTGTACTTCAGACAGTGCATAATACAAGTCACTTGAAAAGTAAAGAACAATTTTACTTCTAAAATGTTAGGGAATTATTAACAGACCCGAGATGTACTTTGTGGTTTGTTAAAGAACATTTCTTTATTGCACTTTTCACTGGATATGATGGTAGTGAATAAATGCCAACAATATCCTCCTTAAGGTTTAAAGGTCTCAATTGTATGGAAACAATGACTGCCCTGTCTTTTAAAAGCTAGTTTTATTTTGGACAGGGCTTTCTTAACAATACGAATAAGATCACAACACATATTACCACTAGTTAAGATGTCGTCTTAAAGACCTTTCTGTGTTGTCATCTATAGGCTACCTTAAGGAAATGAGTTCGAATTTACATTATAAAGTCTACATATAAAGAAAAGCACAAACATTTTCTTCTGTTTCAATACTCTCATTGCTTTTTGCTTGACTGAATTTTTAGCAGGACCCTCCCTCATTTTGCTCATCTGATCCTTGTATTTTCTAAGTTCTGTGTCCAGTTTCTGAACTTTCTGTTCAATATTATCGGCTCGGCCATCTACCTACAAACAATAATATAAATTTAAAATATAAATTTATAAGATGAATCATCACTGAATTTACGTTGCGATATAGGTATTGTCTTACGTTTTTAATGCAATCCGTAATGCTGGGGCCAGGTTCTTTGGGTTTCGCTCTTCCGAATAATCTGTTCATGTTTGGTTTAAAACGCTTAGAAAACTCGGTAAAGAAATTTTTCAGAACCTATCCTAATCAATTTGCAAATTTACTTGCTTTTCTGAACAATTTAAGACGACAAAAAATCAACAATTTATTTGATTGCCACTCACTTCAACTGTCACTTGTCAGTAGTATTAGTAGTGGTAGTTCTATTTTTCAAACTGGAAAGGCAAAGATATCATACCACACCGCTTAATCTTTTATATATATTTTTTTGAAGTGTTTGGAACCTTATTCAATTGGCCGTCGCATCGCGTCACTTACGACAAAAGGCTCGGCGAGTAAATTAACCCACAGACACAGCCCACTGAGCCTCTCACCCAATCTTCACAGTGGGTCGAGTTTATATTTCGAGAGATTATATTTCATCCGATATCATCTCATCTCATTTTATTTTATTTTATTTCATGCCAATCGAATAATATTCCAAATTAATCAACTTCATTTCATTTCACTGCATATTATCATTTTTGTTGGACGGTTCTATTTAGGGTTCGGTTTAGGGGACTGGGTTTTGTAAGTGAGGAGCTATTTTAAAACACTGCTTCATGGTTAATATAATTGTATTGCAAATACTTTGTACACTATTACATTTTATTTTTATAAAAGTCTAAGGTGTTGTTGCATTGTGCGTGTCTAGATGAGAAGTCTTTGTCCGTACTGAAGAGAAGACAATCATCTGTTTTAAGTTGTAAATATTTAATTAAGCATCCCAATATTCGAAAACTGTTACTTCATATGTTGTCACAGTGCTGCCTGCCACTACTTTCATATTCAAACTCTAACATTTTTCATATTTTTTTTTATCAAGATTAGGTTATATGGTACGATGCCTTTGCTTTTCCAGTTGGAAAATAGAACTACTACTACCATAAAAAAATTAAAAATGTCAAGAAATGCGAGGTTAATTTTTAAAATTATTAGAGAAAATTTGCGTAAATCACAGCATTAAAAACTTACATACCACATAAATTTAGCTTGTTAGAAAAAAAAATGAGTAACGGAATATTAAGCAGAAATATTAGAAAAATGGTAAGCTTGAACGAATTTAAAAAAGACTAAAATAAATAAAATAGTAATAAAGTCGTAGAACGTATACTGTCTGCAACAACGTTATTCGTAAAGATAAAAATAGGGTTAATCCAGCATCGTAAAAAAATTTTTAAACATTTCCTTTAGCATTATTTCAAGTGTAGAAATTTGTGTAATTCTTAAACATACAAAAAATTCAATCTATAGTAAATGGAATTATGTCTAGAAATGTAACATAACACTTTAGCAAAGTAACACCCAATGAAATAGTGTCGTTTGTGTTTAGTCATTAATTTTCTACATTGGGAATGCATCCTTACTTGTTTTATAGTTTATGGCAAATGCTTGTGTTATTGTAATGTAAATTCATCTTTTTATTAACAGCTATTGCTTTTTTATTTAGGTTTTTTTTTATTGCTTAGATGGGTAGATGGTTTAGGTTTAAGATTCATTATGAAACAGTTTCCAATGATCTTTTTTTTAAGTAATAATAACAGTTATAAATCTCCAAATTAGAACACACATTAAATACATAATTATTTAGAAAAATAGGTTTTATCTAACACTTCAAGCACACCAGCTAAGATATTTGGTGTAATAGTGAAGTGGTTCAATTGTAATGTGTATTGAAAAATGTAAAGTTAGTCATTGTGTGTCATTTGTAGGTTCAATACAATTTAAGGAATACATTTTATGATTATCAGAATCACTGTGGGACATCTTGCAGTACCATTAAATGTTGGAAATGGGATATAACTCCTGTAATATTGATGCACAATAAACCTAGTTTAAGATATGCAGTTCTCATTTTAAATAGACCAATATCACAAGAAGAGGCATTTATGAAAAACTTTTGGGAAAAAGGTAAGATTATGATTAACTGATTGTTGATTCATATAATTTTATTCAAGAACTAAGGCCTATAATATCAATTATATTATGGTTTAAACCAGAGTTCCCCAAACTTTTTTGTGTCGTAGATCCCTTGCCATGTTTTTCCGTGTTGAGTAGACCCCCTACTTACCTGATATTGGTTTCCTGTAAATTTCTAACTGTAGTAAAGTTTAGTGTTAAAAACTTAAAGTAAAAACACATGTTAATTTATACATTTATTAATTGAATTTAAATTAAAACTACTCAAAATAAAATTTGGTATCTGTTATGTAAAATATATGTAACATAAAATAGACATAAAATAAACTATAAATAAAATAACAAGCAATAAGTCAATATTTTTTAGTGAGAAGGATGAACCTGATTTTAATTTAAACTACAGTTCACATTATGGGCCTTAGTAATCAGTTTGAAAATTTCATATTATGAGGTTGTAACAATACCTGTTGTATTGTTTGTTTGGTTAGATTTGCATATTTCGAAAACTAAGCTATTGCTAATAAATTAAATTAAATATGTGTGTGTTTATCTGCCCATTAATGCTGACAAATGATTTAGAAATTATTATATCAACTAAATTCACAATGTAAATTAAAATTAAAATTTTCTAATAAAAATCTTTGTATTCCTCACCACAATAACAAAATCTTTTTTTGTTATAGCCACATTAAGAATAACAGTAGATGGTGGAGCATTAAGATGGGACCAGTTTCTCACCAGACTACCTGAGGAAATTAGTAATAAAATGAAAATACCAGATTTGATTACTGGTGATTTTGATTCAATAGCAGAAGAAACTCTCCAGAAATATAAAAAGAAAGGTTGTAAGGTGAAATTTTATCATACTAATCAGTAAATTGTTATATGTCGTTGCTATTTACTAATTCTGATGCTAAAATGTAAATTGTTACATACTAGTGGAAATAACCCCATAATTCCAAGATTATGAAGTCAGTTAAAAAGGTATTTCTTAAATATACTTATGCGGATGTATTAAGTATTAAGCAAACTGTGACCATATAGGGGCTGAAATTTGCAGCAAACTATTATTTTAAAATTAAATATCTAATGTTAATACATTTACAATAATTATAATATTACTTAATTTTGCACAGTAGGGTTTCCTTTAATTGCTTTACAAAGCATGGATTTTTTTCAGTTTGAAGGATAACACTATCAGAATACAAATTAAGACTGTTATCATATCTCAAGATCATTAGCAGTCTTCCCATAGTGATTTCTATGTGATATAGTAACTTAACCCCAGGTGGGCTGTGCTCTTCTTCATATTGAAGAAAAAACAGATAATGCATAAACAGATAATGTTAAATAAAAATATTTATTAACAGGTAGTGCACACCCCAGATCAAGATTATACCGATTTTACAAAAGCACTGAAAGAGTTGAATAATCACTGTCAAGAACATACAATTGAGGTTTGCATCACATCTTATATTAATGACTATACTTATTAAATCTGCTGTTTTATGAAGACTTAATTCATACATTTTTTGCTATATAATTAATACAGGGGTATTGTTTATAATAATAAACGTTAAAAGTGGACTATTTGCGATTTTGCAGTTACCCTTTAAGTTGCAGAAAATTGAACTTATACAAGAACTAATTACTAAAATAGAACAACAAAGGGTTACTGCTTACTAGTGTACAAGTTTATATGGTTAACTTGCAGGTGGACAATGTAATAGCAATAGGACAGGCTTCAGGCAGACTAGACCAAATCTTAGGAAATATACAAACTTTATATCTAGCTGAAAAACAACATTTACTTCATCCTGAAACTAAACTCTACCTAATGTCCGGTGATTCATTATCTTGGCTATTGGAACCTGGCAATCATATTATAAGCATTCCCGAGGAAACAAGGAAACATAACAGAGCTTGGTGTTCATTAGTGCCTATTGGAGAAACTTGCCACAGTGTCACAACAAGTGGATTGATGTGGAATTTAGGTGCATTAATTAGTTTTATATAAATAAAATTTGATACTGATATGAAATCCACTGTTTTGAAAACCGTTATGTTTTTTTTAGACAATCAAAGCTTGAAATTTGGAGAACTAGTCAGCACGTCGAATGCATTTGACGGTTCAGACACAGTCAAGATCAAATGTAGTCACACAATACTTTGGTCTATGAAGGTGCCCAGTTTGACAGGTCAGTATCTAAACCCTCATTTTCAATTTAGCTCGTTCGCAATCATAACATTTATAATGATAGTGCAAAACGTGACATTAAACTGTAAAATTATTTTCATTCATGTTTTTACTCTCAGTGAAATAAACAATAACTATGTTTAACTGGAATGGAATCTATGCAGTGTTTTCTTAAGGTTTCATTTGGCTTGCAAAGCTTAAGCAGACTTGAGAAATTCAATGGATTTATATTCTATTCTATAAGCCCACAGACGTCCACTACTGGACATAGGCCTCCCCCAAGCCTAGCCACAAAGATCGGTCCTGCGCTGCTTCTATCTATGGTTCAATGTGATGGTGACTTATTTTCTTTAGTCACCCAATAGTTACATGCCTTTCTTCTTGGTGTAAGAGATGCTCATAGCCAGCTGAAGTGTCGAATTATTAGATGCATTGGAAGAACGACTACACTGTTTTTCTGTCGTCGTGGCCTAAAGGATAAGTCGTCCGGTGCATTCGTGTGTAGCGATGCACCGGTGTTCGAATCCCGCAGGCGGGTACCAATTTTTGTAATGAAATACGTACTCAACAAAAGTTCACGATTGACTTCTACGGTGAAGGAATAACATCGTGTAATAAAAATCAAACCTGCAAAATTATAATTTGCGTAATTACTGGTGGTAGGCCCTCTTGTGAGTCCGCGCGGATAGGTACCCTGTCTGTTTCTGCCGTGAAGCAGTAATGCGTTTCGGTTTGAAGGGTGGGGCAGCCGTTGTAAGTATACTGAGACCCTTAGAACTTATATCTCAAGGTGGGTGGCGCATTTACGTTGTAGATGTCTATGGGCTCCAGTAACCACTTAACACCAGGTGGGCTGTGAGATCGTCCACCCATCTAAGCAATAAAAAAAAAAACTGACTCATAACAAACTAGTACAGACTCAAAATGTACTACTACCTTACTAATGTCACATTGAAGAGTGCTGAATGTGTGCTCCAGTATATTTCAAGTCAGGAAACAATATTTATAAGTGAGCTCTTTAAGGATTAAAGTTCCAGGAAATCATTACATTTTAAAGCAATGATTACAGTTTGTGTACAAATGAAATAAAATGTTCACATATATGAGTCGTCTATTATCAAAGGTGGCAATCTGTGCATTTGGACAAAAAAAATTTATTGATATGTCAATACAGATTGATTTGAATATAATCGTCTCCTTCAAAGAATACGGTTCAAAACCTGCATTAAATAAAGGTTAATAGTTAACCTGTTATTTATCTAAGATGTCGTTCCGAAGAGTTTTGTGACTGCCAATGGAATACAAAGTCAATAATTCGTTTTTCTGATTTACCAATCATTGTCCAAAAGTCAGATTGACGGCTTTGATAATAGTCGACTCATATATTTGTTTGTTTCAGGAGAATAACATAGTGGAGATGAGAATAAATAAAAAATATATATTGGTATTTAGTTCCTGTTAATAAGTAATGTCACTAGAGACATATTCAATCATCAATTTATATCATAGAAACGATCAACAATGTTATGTCGTTTATATTCTCTTCTAACGAGGAACCTCAATCAGTGATATTAAATTTTATAATTCGAATACTATTTAAAAAAAAAGAATATAATTTTATTAATATGTATCTTTCTATATGTACTACTTAATGTTATTGTGTCAAAAAATACTACTGTACCTGACAATAGGGGTATTGTATTAATTAAATTGATTTTCAGTTGTGGCACTTTACATCCTGTACATAAGGCTTATGATCCACAAGTCACACAACAAACATTTCAATAAGGGTGCCGATAATTGTACAGCTTACCCTATACTAAGTTTGTCACCATAAATTATATACAGGGTGTTTTAAAGAAACGACTCCCAAAATACTTTCTACCTCAACACAAGATGACGTTTATTTATTTCAATCTTATGACCGAGTGCTGATTGTCTGAAAGTCCATATTTCATTAGAGGCAACAGCATCCACATATCGCCTAGTAAAGATACATGCATTAAAAACTAAAATACATTAAAAATGCATAATAGTGGTTTCTTTCATGTCGTAAAGACGTAAGGGTGTTGACCGTTTAAACCTACTGCGTTTGCTGTGCAACGCTGTGCATGACGTCATTTGGGGTTAATAAAAATGAAAAGCTAACTTCACACACCATAACAATATTTTTTTTTATTGCTTAAATGGGTGGACGAGCTCACGCCCACCTGGTGTTAAGTGGTTACTGGAGCCCATAAACATCTACAACGTAAATGCGCCATCCACCTTGAGATATAAGTTCTAAGGTCTCAAGTATAGTTACAACGGCTGCCCCGCCCTCCAAACTGAAACGCATTACTGCTTCACGGCAGAAATAAGTAGGGCGGTGGTACCTACCCGAGCGGACTCACAAGAGGTCCTACCACCAGTAAAAATAAATATAAACCTCACATAACCGCAAACGCGATTGAGAGGCTATACAAAAAACCTTACGTGATAGTAAGTGGTAACCGTTTTAACCCATAGACATCACTTATCCACAAATGCTACCATTCGTTGTTATTGGTGTTAAGCCTCATGAGAACAAAAATGTTAGAACGATTAGATTTTTCCAACAATCTATAAACAACTACTTACTAACATTTAGTAAAAATGTGAAAGATAAAAAAAAATTATTTATATTATTTTGACATTGGTGTCGAGTATCCTAGAAACTAGATTAAACCACCTGTTTTTATTTTAAGAAAGGGTTCCTTAGAATTGTTGTAGCAGTTAATTGTTAGTTTTTATAAGTATTATATTAGGTAGTTTCTATGTATTTATCGTAGCTCGGTATGGTTCTTTCTATAAATGAGTCGTCTATTATCAAAGGTGGCAATCTGTCCATTTGGACAAAAAAAATTTATTGATATGGCAATACAGATTGATTTGAATATAATCGTCTCCTTCAAAGAATACGGTTCAAAACCTGCATTAAATAAAAGTTAATACTTAACCTGTTATTTATCTAAGATGTCGTTCAGAAGAGTCTTGTGACTGCCAATGGAATACAAAGTCAATAATTCGTTTTTCTGATTTACCAATAATTGTCCAAAAGTCACATTGCCGGCTTTGATAATAGTCGACTCAAATATCTCATAATTCAATAATAACACGTCATATTTAATAGTTATCTACATTGTGAAATTAATGGCACGCGTTCTAATTAATTAATAAGCAATAAATTGGTTTCTCAAAATGTTGTAGGTTGCTAATGTAGCGTCGATAGATGCTTATAGAATTGCCAATTGTATGGCTGACGTAATTGTTTAAATCGTTTGAGTGTTGGGTAAGGTAGTGAATAAAAATTTGAAATTCAAAATATTTTTGAAATGATCACTAAAACTTGTCTGTCTGTCTTACTAACACGATGATATTTAATTCGATATCCGAATAAATGGGATGATGGTTTATGATTTTGCCAAGCACTACTCTTGCTAGGGCTAGTGTTAGCAACAACCCAGGTTAGTGCCCGGTTAACAGTGCTTCTAGGTACCTCAAGCACCGGTCACCGTTCTCGTCGAACCCGTCGCTTGCGACGAAGGGCTCGACGAGTAAATTAACTCCCAGACACAGCCCACTGAGTTTCTCGCCGGATGTTCTCAGTGGGTCGCGTTTCCGATCCGGTGGTAGATTCTGCGAAGCATGACTCTTGCTAGGGTTCGTGTTAGCAACGTCATCAGGTTTTAGCCCCGTGAGCTCACCTACAAACGTTAGGGTTACGCTGAAATAGCCTCTCAAGGCTCTCAGCTTAGGTAGGAAAAAAAAAATGTGCCCGGTGAGCTCACCCACTCGTTTGATGAATCTAGCATGACTCCTCGAGGTCAAGGAGTATCCCTACAACCTTCCAAGAGTATTGGAATACTTGGGGTCGACATTTCGAGCGATGTCCAATTTCGGAGTAATTTGGAAGGCAAAGCCAAGTTGGCGTCAAAAATGCTGGGAGTCCTCAATAGAGCGAAGCGGTACTTCACGCCTGGACAAAGACTTTTGCTTTACAAATCACAGGTCCGGCCTCGCGCGGAGTACTGCTCTCACCTCTAGGCTGGGGCTCCCAAATACCAGCTACTTACATTTGACTCCATACAGAAATGAGCCGTTCTGATTGTCGATAATTCCATTCTTACGGATCGTTTGGAACCTTTGTGTCTGCGGAGGGACTTCGGTTCCCTCTGTATTCTGTACCGTATGTTCCATGGGGAGTGCTCTGAGGAATTGTTCGAGATGATACCGACATCTCGCTTTTACCATCGCACCGCCCGCGACAGGAGTAGAGTTCATCCATACTACCTGAAGCCACTACGTTCATCCACAGTGCGTTTCCAGAGATCTTTTTTGCCACGTACCATCCGGCTATGGAATGAGCTCCCCTCCACGGTGTTTCCCGAGCGCTATGACATGTCCTTCCACCATCAGGTGGGCCGTATGCTCTGCCTATACCGCAATAAAAAAAAAGGTCACTAGAATAGGTAGAAAAAAAAGAAGATGGTTTTTAGGTATTAAGGGGCTACCGGAACCTATGAATGCAACGAGTCTTCTTCCGTCTTGAAACAGGAGATCAAAATCTTAATTGTATTATAGAAAGGCTGTCCAAATTGCTAAGTAAATATCAGCCGGATCAAAACAAAAATGTTAAATGAAAATGTGAAAGCTAAATCTTTCGTGACGTCATCTCGGTGTTTTTTTTAAATATAGTAGTTGTAGTTTAAATACTGTAGAATCACCAGAGATTATTTGTAAAATTAGTTATTTTAATTTGAATAAATTTTAATGTCGGTTAATATATTTTTGGACTGCAAAGTTTCGCAACAGTATATCGTATTTTAATTGATAGAACTTACTGTTAGCGTTTACTCACCTTGTATGGATTTTTATTTTTTTATTGCTTAGGTGGGTGGGTGAGCTCACAGCCCACCTGATGTTAAGTGGTTACTGGAACCCATAGACATCTACAACGAAAATGCATCACCCACCTCGAGTTACAAGGTATAGTTACAACGGCTGCCCCACCCTTCAAACCGAAATTCATTACTGCTTCACGGCAGAAATAGTGGTGGTACCTACTCGGACGGACTCACAAGAGGTCCTACCACCAGGAAATATAATATATTTAGTATAATACCGGCAAAACAATAATGTGGTTTTCTTGTGAAACAATCGTGTATCAATATTGAAGTGTTATATAGGCTTCAATACAATACAGATTTGGACTTTTTTTTTCTACAGGAGAAAATTGCCGTATATCCACCTCCGCATGGCGGGCGGGGTATGTGTGAGTTGAACCTCACTAAAAACTCCTGCTGCTCACAGCCGGCGCGCTACCCCGGATAGGGCCGAAGCCTAGTCGGAGCTATTGAGACGGCGGGACAGGGCTTACGCAGAGCATATTACATCCATCCCGCCGGACCGGCGGCCACCAGCGACACGACCGCCGGTTCCCTCGGTCGATAACGGTCGGTCGCATGTGGTCACGATCCTCAGTAGTGGGGGAACGATATAGAAGATTTCTGCCGTGAAGCAGTAATGAGTTTCGGTTTGAAGGGTGGGGCAGCCGCTGTAACTACATTGAGACCATAGAACTTATGTCTCAAGGTGGGTGGTGCCTACCCGTGCGGACTGAACAAGAGGTCCTACCACCAGTAAAAAAGTTAGTGTCTTATCTAAATAAAAATGTAAACGAATGTAAAATTGTATCCACATTCTTTGTTTATGTTTATTTATGAAGAATTTTGTTTAATAATGAATGAATAATAATGAATAAAACTCAAAAAATAGCTAAATTAATTCTTTAATAAATTTAATATGTAAAATAAGGTTCGCATAGAATCTTTTTATCTGTGAGCAGTAGTAATCTATGAATATTAAACACCATTAAAAATTCAAAGAGAAATACGTATTGTAAAAAAAAAAACGTTGCCTTATTAATTTTATTCCGAATAATAATAATCTTTTCAACAAAGCAACATTAACATTTAAAGTTTAAGTTCTACGTCACACGTAATCGGAGGTTGAGGGAGGCAGTGCTGCCAACATAACGGCACGATCACGAGATTCATCTTCCTTATCATCTGATGTCAGTTTAAAATAGTCTGAGCGCGAACTCGGCTACTGTGTGAGTTTTAATAGAGGACCTTGCACACCTTTGTTTTACCTGTAAGTTCAATTTTTGAAACTCATTTCTGGGCCTCTTCTGTTGGATTCCTATTTCATTGTTACTGTCATTATTGATGTTGTTATCATTCCTGTTCGTAATTTAAATTGTTTTCGTTTAACTGATTTGTTATTTACTAATAATAATTCTTATTCCAGTTTCTTCGTCATAAATGCTTTTAATGTTATTTTAATTTAATGATTTGATGCATTTACATAATATTATTATCAACAGTACGTCATGAAACATAAATTGTTTATTATTACCTTTATTTTAATTAATCCCTCCTCAATAGCTCATCCATAGTTACGTCATGAACCATAAATTGTTTGTTAATAGCCTTATTTTAATTAATCCCACCCCAATAGCTCATCAATTCGTAACTAATTAAATGAAAATATGTATATCTATCGCTTAATACAAAACAAAGTCGCAATGTATTTGTCGTATTTTCTAACTGAATATTTAATTTTCTAACTAAATTAAATTTGTTAAAAATTGCTGTATGTAAGGTCCGCTGCACATTTGCATCGATGCTCGGCTTATTACTTGTCGTTCCACGCCTTTTACAATTGAAATGCCTAAGATTCTTCATTGTGATTACGTTAATTTTACGATATCTAATGCGATAAAGTTGCATTTGCATTTTAAACATTCGATGGTTTATTTAGTATTTCAAATCGAAGACATAATATGTAACATTATTTCTATTAAGTAAGGAACTGGCAGAATAGTTCGTAACCAGACATTATAGACGCGATTATACTGCTGTCGGCCTTGAGATAAATAATACTTTTTTATAATAATGTAACAAAGCATACTCAGTACACCAAAGCCCACTGAGTTTCTCGCCGGATCTTCTCAGTGGGTTGCGATTCCGATCCGGTGGTAGATTCTGCGAGGCACTGCTTTTGCTAGGGCCAGTGTTAGCAACACACCCGGTTTGAGCCCCGTGAGCTGACCTACGCGTCAAGGAGAAGCTGATATAGCCTCTCAAGGCTATCAAAATAGGTACGAAAAAATAATAATAATAAAAAACACCAACTCGTATAAGCTATATACATCTGAGACGATGTATATAACTTATACGAAATGTAGAATAGGAGAACTAGAAGAGAACATCGAATAATAGTGGAGAAGGTAATTCCTTGTTTCTCGCAAAACAGTGGTTATGAAAAACCAACAAATTCTAGAAAAATGTTAATGTTTAAGTCACCACTAACCACTTTAATCTGCAACGCGTAAATGCTTCTATAAGGCAAGAATATGATATCAACCCTTGTTCTCACACCCCTCTGCCAGTACGTAAGGGCCGGCGTTAGGTACAAAAGAACTGAAGATCCTACTCACATAGACGTATTATTGTTTATTAAGATTAAGATTTATTAAGAAAAGGATTAAAGTAGTGGCGAGGGTGCCAGGGCCACGAGTCTAAAAGATTCACTTACCAGGGCGATTACATATCTCTTTGTATGTATTTCTCATTGAATCGGAACACTCGGTGAATCGTGCGTAAAGGCAGACATAAACCTTAACGAGCGTATGACGAAGTTGGGCGCAGTCACATGGTGGTAGGTAGCAGTCGCACCAACATACCGAAACCAGGGCCGCACGTCAGTTTGTTACGGAGCGCGACGAGCGCTGCACGTGTCGTCAACAGCACAGCGTTCAAAGCGAGAAAATAAAACGGTGCGTCAATTTTTTTTTAAATTTCCCACCGTAATAACATAAGTACTTAAAAATTACCTTAAAATCCGTTTCGACCGTTTGAATCATCAACGAATTCCGTCGTGCATCGACGATAACAATCCAGTTGAATTATAGTTGATTTGTTCGAGCGTTCGAAGTGTTCGAACTCATTCAGCATAGTATGTGTTTTAAAGTGAACGATATATTATTGTGTTAATTTAAAGTCTGTTATTACGATGGGAAAACATTACAAGTTTCGAATTTCGAATTGCTTTATCTTGTTTTTATCACAAATGTTTTAATGAATTTTTTTAAAAGAGTTTTAATAGGTGTTCTTGTAATTTTTTAAATTCTCATCAATAACGTTAAACAAGTTTGTTTAATTTATCATTGCCACTTCCTCTCAGCGGAAAACGTTCAAGATACTAACGTCTATGTCACAAGCTTATCTTAATGTATTATGTTTGACTATTCGGATGTAGATTATTAAGATCACTTTCGATTTTTAAGAGTTGGACGAGTACATTTCTTGTAAAGTTATGAAACCAACAACTTCTTGAACAATACGACCATAGAATGAAAGTTTTGAAATGTCTTCAATAAACTTGCCTTTTGTGAACTGTTATTATTAAATAATTCCCCACACGAATAATTTATTCAAATACACAATTAGCTATTCTCAAGAAAGTATCCACACATAGTATGTAACTGCATTATTATTTTTTTGATAATTGAATTTATGTGTTTTCTCTCGCGTGTACAGCCTATAAATTAAAATATTGAAGTTGTCCTTTTTATGAGTTGAGATATGGCCGTATACTGGTTGTGCCCCTGACATCGCCGATGTTGACGAGTGAAAGGAACCACCTACGATCGCGTGGGCCGCGGGTGAATTGTGAAGGCAATAAAAAACTGTATTTTCCCTTGACTCCCGTCTAAAACCGATATCAGTGTGCTTAGTGCGAGTTTTTTAACTTTCTCGATAGCGTAAAAATTAACTCGAATTAGTATGCAGTTGGAACAGCGCCCCTAGCGGCAAACGTAGGCAAACGCTCGAACTCCATACAAATCTGAGCTAACTTTTACGCTATCGAGAACGTTAAAAACTCGCACTAAGCACACGGGTCCTGTTATTTTTCATACAGAGTATAGCTTCGGTCTTACTCAGTATCAATTGAAACTCACTTCAATGTTGTTGCTTAAAATCACAATAGTTCATCTGATAGCATCATATTAAAAGAAAAAAAAAACTTTTGAAAATCAATTATTATAATAAACGCTAACTGTCAAGTTTGTGTTAATAATTACATGTAGTAGTCGCTTTGCTTTTATTTACTCTCCATTCAATACGAGTTATCTCGAATTTCCACATTTCCTTGGGCAACAAGTTTAATTATAACGAAACCGTCACGTGCCGTCGAAAGATAATGAAAGTGTTTCGACATTGAGATAAGAAGACTTGACTGAGATCTAACTACGGTCGCTTCGGCCAAGTTGTTTGCGGTTCACGAAGGAAATCGTAATGGCAAGTGACCTAATCTTCGATAACGGTCGCAAATTTTGTATTATAAATATTTGGGTATAACGTCAATCGATGATAGACCACAAGAGACATTAATGTAATATGATTGTAAAACCTTTTAGACTAGATCGTTAGAAAGATGGAATTTCTCCATTTGTATTTACATATAATATGCTTTACCAAGGAGCGATGAGGGATTTTGATATGATAAATAATCTATTGCTATTTTATTACTAGCTATTTGCTATATACTGTGGTGACAATGATGTTACCACCAAGGTCGCGCGACCGTATACTCTGATAAACCAGTATGTCATTGGAAGTTTATTTATTTGTTTTTGCTTAGATGGGTGGACGAGCTCACAGCCCACCTGGTGTTAAGTGGTTACCGGAGCCCATAGACATCTACAACGTAAATGCGCCACCCACCTTGAGATATAAGTTCTAAGGTCTCAGTATCGTTACAACGGCTGCCCCACCCTTCAAACCGAAACGGATTTCTGCTTCACGGCAGAACTAGGCGGGGTGGTGGTACCTACCCGTGCGGACTCACAAGAGGAACTACCACAAGTAACTCACAAGTTTCTTAAAAATTTAATGTGAGATTATTTACGCTAAAATTACAATGCTAATACCACAGGCTTACGTATGCGCAGTTAGACAGACTTCCCGGACATTATTATTGCCTTAGCTAACGGCCCACCGAATTTTAAGCGGTTACCGGAATCCATGGACATCATATACATCACTGGATTTCGTCACCTACTTAAATATATTGGTTGAAATTTGGATTGTATTTTATAAAGGTGCTCTCATAATACGCCCTGCAACTAAAAAAAGGTGTTACCATTGTAAAAAAAACTGGCACGTGCTGACGCAATGTTGCAACCGTGTGCGGCACGCGTGACATCGTTTTATCACTAGTGCAAATAATGTCATGAACTAAAAAGGTACTATAATACAGTGTAACCTTATAACGAACCTCAATATAACGACGTCCTCGATTTAACAAATTCTTCGTTATCCTCTTGAATTTTCCATAAGAGTCAATGTAAAATATACATTGCGAAGATTTCTTGCGAACAAACTTTATAACGAATTTTCAACTAAAAAAAAGTGTAAATACCTCTAATTAACAAATTTTGTCAACTCAAAACCTTTATATAACGTTTCCACCAATATGACCCTTAATCATATAGTATGTGAATCGACAGGTTTGAGAAAAGTTGTTACCTACTTAATTCTTTTTAAATAGAAAACACATACAGAAATTTGATAAAAATGTGTTTTTATTTATTAATAGAAGTTGTTCCCTATAGCAAAATGAGTACGTAATGTTGAGATGAATAGGCATGTGTGAATGTTAGACCAACCTAACCTTTAAATTAAAAATCCTCAGTCTACCGAATTACTTGATTTAACGAATATTTACTTGTTCCCTTCCGACTTGTTATAACGAGGTTGCACTATATATTATTCATGTAAAATCTATGAAAGTGGCTTTAGGAGCAATAATATCAATAATGTTTTGCAGAATTGCTACTCTACTGCTTTTACTGTTCAAGATAACGTTGGAATTCGTGGAATTTTATTTTTATTCAAATATCAACTATTTCTATAAATTAAAACTTAATTCTGTATCTCAAGATCGCATTTTCGTTGTATCTTCTGGGCTCCAATCAATTAACACAATTATAAACATCAATTACAAAAACACCGGTGTTTAAAAGTCGTCGCGGGTCGGTCGCGTACGTTAACTACACGGAAAACTGCTACAAATGTATTGTAAGC